GAGTATTGATAAATCTTATTTAAGTCACTAATTGGATAGCGGTTTAGCGATAGTAGGAACGAGCCTAAGAGTTCCGCCGGAAGACGACTAAATCCCAAGGTCGTTACACAAACGCTCTCCCATGTGTGGCGATCCGACAAAAGCTTGCAAGTGTTTCCCTCCTCAATGAGAAGGAAAGAATTAGCACATTAATGTGGGTCTGGACTTTATTGGCCCTCCAGAATCAGCAAGTCAGCATTTTTATCATCTGGCTTCTTATTCTTGTTGAAGGCAACAACAATCCTCCTATTACTATTACTATCATCATTTTTAATACCAATACCAAAGAAGGTTTGGAATGCTATGCCTTTGGAGGAACATCAACTCTATGTGTTGGACATGTTATCAATTTTAAAGCATTCTTCCACCTCCCCAAAACATGGTGCTTGGTGGACAGCTCCCCAAACCCACAACTCAACTTGCTTGAAGCTAAGACAATTATATCTATATCCCCAAAAACTTTCTTTTCTGAGAACAACAATACCAAGAGGTTTCCAAACATAACCCTTTGACATATTACATGGTGCCATAGGAGTTTGATGAGCTAAAAGATTGCTGAGCAAACATATTTCCACTTGTGCCAGATGATTTATGGAGAAGCTTTATGAAAAGATGGGTTGTGTGCCCAGATATGTCTTGCAAGCTGCAGCAATAGCAACAGAATTGGACCAGAACCTGGATAATGTTGCTGCTGCTGAGAAGTGGGCATATTCTGATGTTCAAAAGGCTTTGGATGAAGTTAAGGATGTGTTGATAACCTTGTATCAACCTATTTCTAGCCCCCAATAAGCTAGGCCATATCTCCAGATCATCCTCTCAAACAAAAGCACTTAAAAGATATTGCTGATAATATTCTTAGCAATCCCACCTTTCCTCATGGTCAAAAACTTCAAATTTATTCTGTGGTGCCAATGGAAATTTATGATAAATTTGAATTCCAAAATAAAAACTACAAAACTGATAAGGATGAACCTGTCCAGTTGCTACAACAGGTCATGCAAGGGCTGAAGCAATATGCAATGAAATTTGATCTGAAGGCTGCATATTTGGGTAAGTCACCTGGAGTGGTGCAATTTGAAGAAGCATACTAGTCATTGTAAAATTGCAGTCAATTAGAGCTTTTTTTTGTAACTAAGGATTTTTGTGTCAGTAAAGTGAACATGTAAGCAATTGCATTACATAATAAGCCTAATCTCAATAATCAATAATAGCATTGAAATTCCTGTGTTATGCCTCTACACAATTGTAAATTAATCAAGGCAGATAAGGACTATCCCTAAATATAATTATGAAATTGATTTACATCAAATCCACTATGGAACCTAGAGATTACAGTACCATCAAAAGCATCTTGAAAAAAGAACAAGTACAAAGTGAAAAAATTGCTCCTTACATTTTTAAAATAGCTAACACCAAGAATATTTATCAAAAATTAAATACTAGTCTTGGAGATAAAATTGACCTTTATCACAAAAATAATTTGCAAAATGACTTGAAGTTCAAAGCTTGTAAGAGGAAGAAACCCAAAACTTATTAAAGAGATATAAATAACACCTAACCAAAGCCAAGTTAGAACGAAACTATTAATAAAAATACCAAATTGGCCGAAATTCATCAATCAGCACTCACTAGCAAATAATAATATTCGATATTGCAGCATTGATGTTACTGCGCATTACAGTTAGAGTGCAAAATGTTCATGTGTTCCATTCAGATCAATAAATTGGTAAAGTGTATTATCTGCAAGGTACATTTGTTTGGTATTATGTTCTTGACGAGAACGAACTTCTTGGAAAGGCCCGAACGGTGCACTTAGCTTCGATGGAATCAAGCAACTGAATAAGGCGAAAATAACTTGCGATAATGCGGGCGGACAAAATAAAAATAATACCACTCTTTGGTTTGTACTTGGTAATTTGCGGGTATTATTATTATGAAAGTATTGAGCTAAATTTCATGTTCCCGATACCAAATTCAAATGTGATGGTAGCCTCGGGAATTTACCTGCCAGGTCACACAACCTTCCAGGTCGTACAGGCTCAAATATTATCCTTTCATTGGACGCTCAGATGCCCACTCTCCATAAATAGGAATATTATGGGCTGTACGACGTGTAGGTAAATTCCTGAAATGATTAAAAGACTTTGACGCAAGACTGTGTAGACCATGTCACAGACGTGGTAAAAGATCTAGCGTCACCGGACTAAATAAAGCTCGACATTATAACAATAATGGCGATGAAGATTTCCAATATTACGACATCGCAAGCGGCCTAGAAACCTATTTCAAAAATTATCTCTATGCAATTAGGGACAAAACAAATTGATGAATAGCAGCAAACAATGATAAAGATATCGATGATGAATTGGAAAATGGTACCAAAGAAAACATTGACTGATTTTATTCCCTAAATGAAAAAAAGAAGGATGAAGATCAGAGCAGAAAGAAATCCCGAAGCTTACTATCGAAATGAAATAGAAAACCACGTGCTAAGTTGGAAAAAGAATTAGCAGAAATTAAGCAAAGCAAATATCTCCTCTTTGATGTCATCCTAATTGCACTTGACGTCAGATGTTCACTTTGTCTGGTTTTGTTGCAGCATGCCCATATGAACTTCACTATATTCCCCCGTCTCAAAAGCTCCTCTATACTTAACATGTTCATGCCAAGTTGGGCATATCCGCCCCGTATTGATGCGATTTATTGACGAACCATTACAGTAATATTGAGAATTATATACAAGACAGTACAGAAACTCGTTCGACAACTAACTTCTCTTTATAATGGATTATAAGTATTCTATGTTGTATTTGTGTACACCCTAGCAAAGTTCTGACCATATCTGCTCAAGCCTTGCGTTTCGTGTTTGTAATCTTTTTTCCGCGACCACTTTTAGTTCCATTAGCTTTCCCACCATTTAATTTGGCCACTGACCGGGAGCTTGAGGATTTTGATCCCTTGGTATTTGACGATTTAGCCGATGCCTCGTCAGACACCTTCTACAAGTTAAGCGATATCAGTTAATTTTAGCTCACCGTAGTGCTGCTAATATTACAAATGAAAATCTGCAATTCTATTTCAAGTAGTCATAGATAATTCGTCAACTTACTTTACTGGAACTTCGACTAGACTCATCTCCGGAATCAGAGGATTCTTCATTGCTCGACTCTTTCTTGCCTGCTCTACGTTTTGCTGCACCTGGCTTACTGGCTGTTTCTTCGGCTTTTCGCTTCTAAATAAACCACGTGGTTAGAAATTGTTTTTAATAATCAGCAATGGCAGACACCTATACGACACAACATACTTTATTATCAATTCGCGCTCGTCGTTCCTCCCGTTCTTTCTCTTCTATTTCAGTTTGCTCTTTTTGCAAAAGACTTATAAGTGTAGAACAACGGCGTGCAATCTCAGCCGTCGTTCGTGACCTAATAAACCAGTTAAACTTAAAAAGGCTCCCTTCTGCCTCGATTTCCTCCCGAATTCTTTCGTAAACATCCTCTGTTCCATAACCGTATTTGGTAAGCATGACAAGTAAAAATCGATCCTCAGCCTCGGTATAATTCTTGCCTTTAGCTTGATTATATTGTATTTGCATTTGACTCAAGGGCGAGCGATACTTTGCGACCTTGGCTTCAAGTAACATTTGTATTTCCATAGTTTGTCGCAACCTTGCCTCGCCTCTATCAATTTTGGCTATTATTTCCTCATAGTCTTTGTGGAAAGCAAAAGGCTTAGCATACCTGACGAATAAAATAGAATATGCCTTAATAGGGCTTAACTTACTTGGAAGTTCACGATATCGTTCCCAGAAAACTTCAGCGTATGCTGATACTTCTTCAAAAGTCTTGCCCTCGATTTCACTAGCAACACTCTCAAGAGCATTCCTAAATTGAATTGGCAACAAGAGTTAGATACTATATTTTATTGTTTGAGCAGGAAGAGCAGAGTAACCTTTACCTTCCATATTTAGCAGACGCATTTATAAGACAATTAAAGTCACGTTTCGACCAATCGTCAAAGACCTGATAGAAAAACCACAAATTCGTCAATGGGGCTAAACTCATTGATAATTAGATTTAGACTACACACCTCCTCTAGTGCAGCTTCTTTTTCTTGTATTTCTTCCTCAGTGAGGGGTTCGGCTACAAATAATAACTTTAGTGTCTTATACAAAAGTCGACAAGTATTATAGCTAACTACCTATAATTACCATTATCAATTTTGTCTTGTTCTTCTTGTCGCTCTTCTTGTCGTTGCGCTAAATCTTCTTCTTCGTTCTCCCCAGAGGGCTCTCGTAGAGGAACTTTATAACCAGTAGTTTTCTATATATAGAACGTTCGTAAATAGTCTTTGAGATAAAAACATAACTTTGCTACTCAATCACCTACCTGGTAATAATACCTTTCCTTCTTAAGCAGTTCCACTAACCGTGGACTAGGAAATTGCCATTCATTTCTATTAAAAAAAAATAAATAAACCAGGTGAACAATGAAAATAAACCATTATTGAAAGCTTAGGATAAATGCAAATTCAGTAATTGTACTGACATGTTGATCTGCTTAGGTGGCTTCGGTGCTTTAGGTTGAGATGGCTTGGGCGTGACACGAAGTGCATCACGATAATAATTATCTACTGCATAATTTGCTTTACGTTCTCGCTTTTGGGGCTCAATCCAAACAAAGCCTGAACCGTCCGGTTTTCGCTGAATTCACACAAAAGTCAGTTGTGCTCAGAACACTCCAAATACTGTTAGACACGGTACATACTTTATTGCTCCAATTCTCCCCTTGCCATTCGTAAGCTGATTCGGACGTGAATTTCTGCAGATCTTCTAAACCGAGTCCCTGATACTTTTGATTAAGTTTAGTAGTCTTTTCTTCGCCTTTTTTGAGAATATAATCAATGTCCTCATCAGTCACTGTACTCTCAGTTGACGTTATAATTTCTTCAGCCCCATGCTGAATCATGGTAAGAAGTTCGTCTTTAGTTGCAGCTGGTTTAGAAAGAAAAAGAGAAACGTTCAGAACCTTTAATTGAATAGCAAAGAATCTGATTGCATCAGGTCTGCGTTAGTTTTACCTTTAGAATTTTGCGTGGCTCTGCCTTGCTGGATAACTAATTGATCCAACCGCAATTTCTGCGCTGCTCTTTCGAGCACCTTTTCTTCAATAGCGTTCTAATAATTGAATACTGTATCATTAATAATTCCCTCAAAGTCTGCATAACAGAACGAGACAATACCTCTGTCACAAATCGAAATACGTAGACTTGTTTCGTCTGCCCAATGCGATGTGCACGGTCTTGCGCCTGCAAGTCAACTTGTGGATTCCTAGGAAAAACTGTGAGTGACAAACCCTAATACAAAATTGACAGCATTCTTATAAAATACTTAAGCTTACCAATCACTATCGTATAATATGACGATATCCGCTGTAGTTAGGTTAATACCCAAGCCTCCCGCACGCGTGGTAAGAAGGAAGACAAACTTATCACTCCCCATTCTATTAAACTCGTCAATTGACGAAATACGTTCATCCTGTTTGGTTTGTCCGTCGATGCGGCAATAAGCTGATGAACACAAACAAACCGATTAATAACCAACACGTCAGCTGAATATTCAGTTGAACATTGAATACTAACCAAAATTACGCAACAAGCAGTAGTCTTCTAGTATGTCTAGCACACGGCTCATTTGACTAAAGAGAAGAACGCGTGAGCCCTGTGCCTTTAATCGCTTCAAAAGCTTGTCAAGAACGACCATTTTCCCTTGAGACCCGAAAGTAAATTAAGATGAAAACGCAAAATAACAACTTGACAAACATAAGCACAGAAGCAATGCAAACCTGCGTTCTCGACAAGATGCTCATCCGTAGTATATGGGGGTCCAGGTTCCTATGATAATGGGAAATAGTATAAATAAAAGCAACTTACAAAAACAAAGATCCTCCTAAGTAGATCACTTACAGCTCCATCAAATAAATATGGATGGTTGCAGCATTTCCTCAATTGCATCACAATATTTAGTAATCGAGTTTTACTTTCTGCCTTACTTAAAGCGCCTGTTGGCAAAATAGCAGTAATAAACAAAACCGGGCCTTGCTGACAAAACACTTTATCAATACAACCAACCATTAACTGCTGCAATGTCTTTCTCTAATATCTTCTGATACCATCTTCGTTGCATTACTGACAAGCCGACGTAAAGATTAATTTCCTTCTTTGGGAGAAGTGATTTCTCAACGTCAGCTTTTATCCTTCGTAATAAAAAAGGTCTAAGTACCTTCAGAAGAGAAATTGATGTGAGAAAACATAATAGCGCGGCTACAGATCTTTCATACAGAGAGTATTCTTACTTTATGAAGTTGTTGGACAACTTTATCCTGGTCCCCTCCTTGAAATTGAAACCATGAATCGAAATCATCCGAAGAAGAGAAAACGTCCGGTAACAAAAAATTTAACAATGCCCATAGTTCATGCAAATTGTTCTGAAGGGGCGTCCCTGTTATCAAGAGACGATTTCTCGAATGAAGAACTCTCACTATCTGTGACAGCATAGAATTCTCATTTTTAATGCGGTGGGCTTCGTCTATTACAAGATATTGAAATGCAAATTTTTTCAAAACCGATTTCTCTCGCAAGCAGAAATCATACGATGTAACGCAAACTTCAAAATTTTGCGGTAGTAATTGTTCATTGATAATTCGTGCCTAAATATTAGAAGAAATGATAAGCCTATATGACAAATGCAGGTGGGGCAAAATGCAAATTACTTTTGATCATACCCGTTCTTCCTTAGTGCCTTGAAATACAATGACACGAAATTCTGGTATCCACTTGGCAAATTCCTTTTCCCAATTGTTTAATGTTGACTTTGGAGCAACCACCAAATGTGGCCCAGAAATATCACGGTAAATTTTCAGATATCCGAGAAATGAGATTGTCTGTAGAGTTTTTCCTAAACCCTATCATCAATTAACGACTCGTTAGAAACGAATTCATGTATTAACAGTTAATTATAACTAGTCTTACCATTTCATCAGCCAGAATGCCGTTAATACCATTTTCGAATAAAGAAATCATCCAATTCAGGCCTTGTAATTGATAGTCACGCATGGTCCCATTTTTTATGTCTATTTTGACAGAAAATAACGTGAGGTCAAACGAATAATCTCAAAGTCAAAAACAATATTAAAAACTAACAGTTTGGGGATTCTGTAAAGACAGTTTTGAACTCATTCTCCTCGTTCTCCTCATCTTTCAACAATTCCTAGTAGATATATCATAATTGTAAGTTGATGCAAATCGATGAGGATAATAGATGAATTCAAGAAATATACACACCTCGTCTTCCTCCTTTTCTGTCTTGCGATGGCGCCGAGATCTAAATGAGACAGATTATTAGATATTATCTTGAGCAATCCTTCACCAAGAAAGAAAGCTATTAAACACATATGACTATTCATACCCATCATTAGACTTTTCCTTGCGCTGAATTTTTGGTCCTGACCGCTCAGTTTCTTCCACGAGGTGTCTAAACTCTTCATCTTTTGATTTCTAAAAAGAAGGCAGAAAAGGACGTAAATATATTGGTGCATCATGAAACGAGCAAGGTGTAGAATCTAGAAAGAGAAATACCTTCAAGTTGATAAAATGCGAAAATAATTCTTAAGGACGCACCACAGTTATAAGTCGTTCTTATTCAATGGATGCAATTAGACTTATTGATCAGGTGTCAAAAATACCTTCATGTCCTAGCAAAAATTGAAATCTTCGGGCAGTATCTTTCTCCTAAAAAAGCCGCCATTCAAATTACGTATTTCGTAAGAGTCGCTATAAAATATAAAGACGTGCATCATCATCTTACCTTGTTATCTTGAAGTTTCTGAACGCTTTCCGCGAATGCATAATTTTGGGCCTTTCGTTCTTGTCTCTGGATTTCGGCTTCTACCATTTGTAATAAACAAGCAGTGTTTTGTTCCTCACCAAAAAAAAGATTTGGCAGCTTATAAAGGAACGCGTGTCGCACAATTTTTGAGTCCTATGTTTACTGCAAGCGGTATTTATTTATGGAGTTATGTTATGGTGCAGACACCTAAAGACGCCAATAGCCCCGAAATTCCAAATGACTTCTAATCATGTGATTTTTGACCAATCACGCACATAGCATCACGCTCAATATTCGGTCCACATTCATGTCACGCGAAAATTGGATTATCACGTGAATATCTCCAAAAAATTACAAAGGGAGCATGCTAAAGTGGCCTCGTAAATGTTTCAAGTTAAATATAATTTACGTGTATTTGTTATTTTTTTCATTTTTTTTGCTCGACTACTACAAAAATCTTGATCCTTAATTGTTAACACCAGCTAAGTAAAGTGGTTAATCTTGTCTACACGAATGTTTCGACACATTCATCTCAGTGCTGAGTTGGGCTTGTCGTTATTTCGAGCAGTTACCCTCCACAGTATTCTATCGACGCGAAGCACAAGTAATTCCGAGAACGCTACTCAAGCCATCGACTAGGTTGTCAGCTCCTTGGGACAGTGAATTGCCTAAAAATTACGACACCCACTTATAGACTAAAACGGAGAATGATTCTTTGAATACTTTAATTCAGCTTTATTATCATCTTGGATACGTCAGCCATTAATCTAATCCATACCATACAAGTGAGAAAGTAGTACAAGTCTTTTAAATACTGCAGTCCAATTCGCTTTTATTATAAACGGAGAAATTTGCAAACGATCTCTGACCATGAGAAACGGGATTGTTGTTCACCACACACATTAATTTTCCTAGAGATGGAAATTCTTGGTGACTTGCAAAATATCTAACAAATTTTGTCGCTCGTCCTTTATCTTAGATTAGTAACTATACTCGTTGAAATGGCAAGACTTTGGTTGTTGGCTTGGTAACTGAATTGATGCATGAAGAAATATTCGTATAGAGTGGATGTATTAAAATAAAACTCTGCAAACAAGAATGTTAAATTGAGCGGGGTTTTCCGTCGGCTCGAAGCAAAAATCTTCATGACTTAAAGCTAAGCTCTCGTGGCAAACGTTTAATAATTTACAATTATTATGGCCGATGGGAAAAGAACGTAACATATCCATATACAATGTAATCGAGTCATAATCGTACAGAATTTTGTAACTTAAATTAATAGACGCGATTATCGTATAAGGAGCGTAAAAATTCCATTATTAAAGAAGGTTGTTGTTTTAAAGTGTTGAGGTGCCATTCATTGTTAATAGTACGTTTTATAGTTCATAATTGAATATTCAATATGCATATTAAATAAAATAAATTATCGGCTGAGCAAAAATTGGGAACGCTTCCTAATTAACAAATCGAAGTAATATCACCCTTACTAATTATACTATGCAAGTCGTTACTTCTTTCCTTGTTTGTAGGCAGGGTTATCGCTGAAAGAGTCGTTTTCTTTTAAAAAGAATTCAGACGAAATTTAAATCAAGCCAAGATTAAATCATTCAAAAAGGAGCGACTCAAACAACGATAACTTGGTAGTTTACTATGGGTGTGCTCTCATCCACCAGATTCGGTAACGTTTAAGTCTTCATGGACTGCCCTTTCTTCTTCTGTGGTCTCTTCAGCAGTAGCTAATTTTTCTCGTAAGTCATTTATTTGTCGTTCATAAAAAGCACCTGGTATTCTGTCCTGTCGTGCCGGGAGGAGCAGGTAATAATCGACACAGGAATTTAGCTAGTTTCGGCAGAGCGTGGCGTCTCCTTCTCTAGGTAAATCTCGGGTTACAGTTAGTGACCTTGTCCAATCAAGGCTTTGCACTTACGAAAACCTTCCCGTCGTAGAGTGACGCTAATCCTGGATATATTAGTTGTACTCGAGTAACTCTGTCGGCTCCTAAGATGGGATTAATTCTTAGTCTACCGTTGGGGTACAATAGTAATATATAATAATGCGCAAATTACAGTCAACCCTCTCTATAGTCAGCTGTCGGGAACAATGCAACTTTTGTTGAAAATGTGCTTATAAAGAGGTTGTGACTATATAGAGGGTTTTCCTATAAGTTCAATAGTAATTGGTTCTCAAGCATGGTGTGCTTATAAAGAGGTTTTTATATGATGTGCTTATAGAGGGTGTAACTATAAAGAGGGTTGACTGTAATTATCGGTTTCTCAGCTATACCAATAAGTTATGAATCATTAGCAATGTATTTCAGAGTATAAAGAACTACTCATTTATTTACAATAAAGGAATCGAAGGTAATTAGAACATTCTAAACATGCACTGACACTCCATCTACTGAAATCTACGTTACTTATATACACTTTCTAAGGCCTTTTCCAATACTTCAATCATTAAACAATTTTCCTCAATGGCTAGTTGCTTTAACTCCCTATGAAATTCAGGCTTGGCTGTATATATCTTTCGAGCGGACTAATTGATCTATTTTTAGCAGCTATTACCAATTACTAACTATTATTCTCAGTACTTTTACAGCGATGCTGCTTGTATCACTGCCGTATCTGCCGTATCACTGCCGTATCACTGCTTGTACCGCTGTTGTAACGATACTTGTGGTGTTACTGCACCGTCGGAAGTAATGCAGAAATTTAGTCACCGTTTATAGCGTAGCATCCACAGGCAAAACTGGGAACTCCTTTTCCTCAATTTCTTCATTGTATCTAATACAATCACAAATATATTTGCCACTATGAAAATCAATGTTCAAGTCGCTTTTTAATCTTCTGCACCTATTACTATTACTATCGCATGTTGGTATCTGATCATTTTCAAACTTTTCTTTGCAGTTATTTCACAAACAGCCTTATCCAAACTAGAACAAAAGTCACAAGTCGCTCTCTTATTTCATTCTCCTAATTCTAAAATTGTGTAAAGTAACTCTCTCATTACTGCTTTTTGACTTCCATTTGAGCCATCATTACTTGATTTTGAAAAAAAATTTTCTTTGCTGTATGCTGAGACTCAACTTTTTCTCTTCTTCTTTTTTTAGTAGGCAAGAAAGTAGTAGTTGATTGTAAAGTCAATTGTCCCTTATATACTCAATTAATATCCAAGTTCTCCTGATATTTCTATTTCCTCTTCTAATTTCGATTTTTCTTTTTCAATCTCTTTTCCAGTAACTCCGATTGGTCTTTGTAATTTTTGTTATCTTCTCCTCTAACTCTCTTGTTTATTCAATGTTTGATTTTCTAGGTATTTGAATTTCCTTTTATTTCACTCCTTTCTGACCTTTGTCAGAGCCTCAAAATGAATTTCAGCATCTTCTTCCCCTCTTTCGGCTCTTTCTTTCAATGCTTAATTAACAACTCTTTTTTCTCCAATTCTTTTGCTAACTCCTCTTTAACACTTTCAGTTTCTAGTTTGGTTATTCTAGTCTGCATATTTTTAATTTTTATATCGAGATTTGGTATTCACTAATTCTCGGTTTTTTTCTATTAATTCTCTTTCCGGTTTTTTATATTCTTCTTTTCAATTTAATTCTTTTGCTCTTGTTTAGCATAACTTTTTTTTATTTGAATCTTATCATAACTTTTTGTATTAAATTGCCTAAGTCTGTACTTGGGCTAAAGAATTATAGGAATTTATAAAAATTTCAAGAATGTTTGGAGAGAGAACCATTTTTATTGGCTTGCTTTCTTAAGTCTCCAATAAATTTCCCAGCAACTTCTTCTTGAAAAGTGACCCTCCTAAGTCTTTACCAATTGTTTTTTCTAACTCTTTTGTTATGCAATAATCACATTTTCAATGCTCAGCAAGTAATAGTTTTGAGTCTTCTAAATCTTTTTACAGCAGTAGCCATTGTTTAATGACAAATTATTTTTTCTTGTGTGCTGTTGAGAGCCATTTCTCCTCATTTGACAGAATTTCAGAGATAGTACTCCGACTTACACAATACTCGCTAGGTCAGTTTGGGAAGGTTTTGGATTTTTGTAATATTCTTCACATATCTCACGCTCCTGAGCAAATGTCGGGGTTTTACGAACTTTTTGTTGACTGAGGATACGTTCGCTTTTGCGTTTACGGTTATTAATTAGTTGCGACATCATACTAATACATTAAGAGTGTGTTTGATATATTATGATCTAATTAAACTTGTGTCACACACGAAGCTTTGCTATTGTGCAAAATAATATCGGTTATCGGAATTGCGCGATTTTATATAAAATATCGGTTTTCCGAGTAAATTATTATTATTATTATTATTATTATTATTATTATTATTATTATTATTATTATTATTATTATAAGTGTTTTGGGGATTAGAAAATTTACCGGTTTTTTGGCATTTATCGGGTTTCCGAGCTTTGATGTATTAGGAAGTTTCTACAATTACTGCTATTGTTTCCATTGTATGCAGAGTGTGACCAATGATAATTTAATTCGCAGCGAACCTATTTTGAAAAGCAAAACTCGAACAAATAACTTCATCAACAAACCTTTCGCAAAAAAAAATGCTTAACCTCTCGAGCGAATTCTTTTTTGGAGTATTTATCGGCTTCGTTCTCGGCCTGTTGACTTGGTAATAGCCAACTCCACAATGTGGGAATATTAACTAAGACTATGAAGTCTAGAAAATTATCAGTGGAGGTCTTGGTGGAAAGCTTTTACGTTCTTACGTTTCTTCTAGTTCTTGTTTCTTTCTTGGTTCATCATAAGTTGGCATTAATGCTCGTTTATTGGTTTTTATTTTTCGTTCTTCTTGATAAATTTCATAATAATAAGTGATTTCTTCTTTATCCTGATAAGCGTCCAAATGCAGAGGAACTTAAGAATTATATTATCGATTTTGTTGAAGAAATGACAACACGTGGAATGCCGTTTATCATAATGACGTAAAACCCTTATCACGTCTCGAGGAGAGTAAATATTCTAGTAAGCTCCTACCTGCCTAAACCAAGAAATAGATTCAGCTGCTACACGTTGGTGCAAATAAAGTCAATTTACAATATTAACACCGTGCATTCTTTATAATTTAGAGACACAAACTCTTTTTTGAATAAACATGTAATTCGACGGGCTTATTTACAGTTATACGAGTTTTATTCAAAAATTCGAATTATACGATGTGTTTCCACGTATGTCAATATGGTTGAGTTAAAATAAAATCGTGCACGTTTACTGTTAGCTGCAATTGGTCATGAGTTTGATGCTGAATAAAATACTAACAACATTCGAGCACCAGCCGGATGATGACATTGTTTTCGTACCCAAACAAGTTCTTTTCCAAATGGCCCCATTAATGTTTGGTGGTCCGAGAGTTTGAGCAAGTTGTTTCACAATAAGATATTCCCAATTTGTGACACAATTTGGCCTGCATCAATTATGAGCATAATTTAAGATATCGTAGCAGTAGATTCGGATTGTCCTCCTCTACCAGATTTGGTAACGTTTTGAGTTACTAAATTTGGTAAGGGAGATAGTTTAGCACAGGGAGGTAAATTACCTTCCCCCGATCTATTATCAAATTTGGCAAAATGCTAAATATGGTTGATGAGAACACAGTATGATTAGTTGTTTGTTTTTTGAAAGAGAGGCTTGCATAGGAGAGATCATTCTAGGTTAATAGTAATGAACAAAATATGCTTTCTGCATACTCCATCAATAAGAATGGGCTGATGCTCTTGGAATCTTCAATTATAGCTTTTCCTCGAGCCAAATTCTTAAGTATATGGTTGTAAAGCAGTTAAAATTGTCTCTGGAATGTTGCTAATAGAATGTACACCCTCCCTCAACCGAAAGTCTAGCATTCTATTGTGATTGTCAGTATCTGTATATCTGTATACCATTACCTACAGCAAATCTTATTATTATCGTTATTATTATTACCTAAAATTTATAGATTGCTTTGATAAGAATGATTCGGGGGTTGGAAAAATAAACCAATCGGCCTTATGTCACGTGTTATACGGTATAAGCTCTAAGATTTACCACTCTCGGGACTAGGTATATAATTCTAACGTGCATATATCGAGAGCTATTCATAACTCGCTAACAGATATGAAACAAGAAAATACCAAAAGTACTGCAACACCGCAGTCTCCCACCAAAAAGGACGGAGGCATATTATCAGCTAAACAGGGAAAAGAGTCAGGAAATACCGGAAGCTCGACTTCAACAACTACAAAGAACGTACCAAGCTCAACACCTGCAATAAACATATTCTCAAATGATGGAAGTTTCCTCGAACGCTTTAAAAGAATGAAAGCTGAGGAAGACGAAAAGAAGAAACAACTCGAGGCTTTGGATAGGTATGACTACTGGAAGCCACTATGGGTGTAGAGTAGTTGCCTGGAGGTCTCGTTTGATAAATCTTCAGTGGGAGAATAAGAGTTCGCTAGCTCGGAAAAGTTGGTTGAGTATTACTAGATATGGGGGACGCAGTTTGGACCCGCGGGAGTTTGTGTGGTGCCAGAATCACGACCTGTGCCGACTTCTTTTATTGAGGTTTCGTCTTTTCTATTTATTTCTGGCTTTTCTTTTTCTCCAAGTCATAAAAACATCTTGTATTGTCTATACACCAGATTAACAATAAAGTTTCGTGCGGTTGATAAGATCAGTTATTCAATAAATTATGCGTTGAATGATATTTGTGGAAATCGTTTACATCCGAATACTCACGCGACTATACTTTCTCTTAAACAACACTAATCTGTTAATTGCTAAACTTCATGCGATTGCGAAATTCAAAGAAAGAAAGCCTTTGAAGATCGAATTGTAAGTCTGGTTCACCTATGAAAATCTGGTTTACTTTCTTGCTCTGTGACTATGGACCATTTGCATTACTCACGCATTACTTTATATTTATTAGAAAAACCGCGGAAAGCGCAAACTTTCAACTACAGAATCTCCCGGATTAAATGTTAGCGCAGACGGTGTCTCCGAAGCCAAACGACCACACCTTGAGAAATCAACTGCAGCCGAGACTTTGGATCCGAATGCCAATGCTTACTTGAAGGAGATGCAGAAATATAACGAAAGACTGTGTAAGGACGATTCGGGCCATGTTCGGCCACTGGTGAAATAAAGGTGAGCTACAGTAAGGTTGAGATGGATTCTTTGCGATATGGTGGAAACAATTTCAATCATGTTATATGTCAAGATGGGATTTTGGCATCATGAATGGTCTGTTTATTTCCTGATAGGGACGAGTGTTGAAAGAAAGAGAGGAAAAAAAAAAGGAGAGAGGAGAGAGACAATGAAAATAGATGGTCGAACGTTACCCACTGAACACACTATCTTAAGAAACTCTTGTGCAAGATTTTTCTCTATGTTTTGAGGAAGAGTTTAATTATGAACAGTAATTATAATCTTTCTTGACATCATTTCATTAAACTTATCAATGACTAATCTCCACGACAACTTTTCCCGTTTACCAGCCCATCATGACAACCCGATCATTTCGTCGGTTCAATATAATATGGTTGTGACTAAACAATTCTATGGACGCTAGATATACAACATTTGATGATATATTAATAAATACTTGATCTATGAAGAATTAGTGTTATCTCCTTGAGGCACTAAGTAATAAGGCAGAGCAGCTTGCAATGTGCCCTTTTTCTCTGAAGCGACTAGCCATTCCGGTTTCACTATTGGTATACTACCATCTAAAGCGCGTTGATATTCCACTCCACCTTGGACGTTGCATAGCAAATGAGTAGTCTCGGGTCCTACATGTTCACTCCATGTAGCACTGATTCTTTTAATGACTTCTTTCAATTCGTCTACCTTTGGTGTTCCATCATCACTCTCACTGAATGCTCCAAAGCAAACATTGATTCCAGTCAGATTATCCAATTTGTGCGTTTTGACGGTCAACTTATTACTTGTATAGCTTCCAGCAGTCGTCTTCATGTTAATATAAAATTCGTAATCTGTATTCAGCTCCAAGCCGCTCAATTTTATAAAATTTATCCCCACCGGCACATGTTGAGAAAGACGGTCTCCGTTTTTGTAGATATCGAGACTTTTAAACTTTGCCTTGTATAATTTTAGAGGTTCCCACTCGAGTAATACACTAGTTTGCGTGATATGCTTTACTTTTAACTTTGGTGATTCTGGAGGGTGTTTACCGTACTCTGCCAAAATGCGTTCCTGTAGCTTCCAGAACTCGGTTAGCCGGGCTTCTTCTTGCTCCCGATTTCTGTTTACAGCTATGTTGACTATGCTCCCAGAGGTCACGCCTGGCGGAAGTAGAAGAGAGGGGAATTCTATAAGGTGGTGGTCTTCGGTCAGGAGAATTGCCTATTGTTTAGAAAACAGATGGTGTTGGTTGGTCGTATGAAGAATTCAACTTCCCAATTCATAGGATAATGTACGCACCATCCCGGCATCTAACTTCCCCACTGTAAATTCTACTGAGGTGGTTGCGCTCATAGCGTACGCTGGTTACTAAGTGGTCCAACAAAGTTGTTTGCACGTAAGTCTTGTTCTTTTTTACAGTCGAATATTCCAGTCAATAAATCAGGTCATGTGATTGTCTCATATAATACATTGTCACACACAAAATTGTGAGATGACTAAATCGATATTATAATTACAGTGAATTTTCTCAGTACTACATGAAATCAACTATTTGCTTTAATGTTGACTCTTAGCTAGCAATATGACAACAGAGTAACTGCAGCGATAACCTTAAACATCAGGTAAGCGACTTTTAGTTTATAATAAATATAATGGTTTTTAAATCTCGAAATCATCCATTATGTAAATTATGCGCACGCTTGTGTTCCACTTCATTATGTGCTCCGCGATTAATATCTTTGTATTTAGTGAACATGCTAGTCCCATACTCCTATCATCTTAATCAATGTCTAGACGAATATTCCCGAAACAGATTACCGGTCGGGTGGTGAATAATTCATACTCTGCGCAGCATTATACATTATTCGCTCTGATTTAGTCTTGGTAATAGTTATTCTCTGCGTAGCATCGAATATATTATCCTCGACGGTAGTTAACTCTGGAGAACAATACTTCGCCATAGACTAGAATACTCATGGAATTATTCCCTGGCGTAGTAAATTGCCTAAAAATTACAATTGTGCGCTCTCCCTCAGACGGTGGAGATAACTCCCAAGTGCGTCAATTCCACTTCGATAATGAATCTCGGTTTCATATCAGTACTCTCTGCCATTGACATGCCCTACACTCAGAGGTTGACTAAGTCTGTATTCTCATTACTTCTTCAGTGATGATAAGCGGAACGTATTTCACCGTGAGTAAACATGAACTGCATGCCAACCGTATAGATTTTATCTTGCAATATAACCATGCGATTGTTGGAAAACATGAAAGAGACTGTAACGGCAATGATGAGAATGAGATTGACAATAGTGTAATTTTTAATAATGGCAAGATTAACGAATGTCGTTCACCTTCGAATGATTTATGCGTACACTTATGGCATTCATTAGGTCCAAGAAAAATTCTGAAAGAAGGCACAGTACAATATCTTCATTTGGTGCTACGTGGGACTATGTAATACCAAAAATATGATCTTCGGGGTCATCTGACGTTCAAGGCTTTGGGCTGATTGTTCTGATGTTCAAGGCTTTGGGCTGACCCAGCGGATGGGAGTACAAGCAAATTATTACTGATATATAAAATGATAGAAAATACTAATCAAAAGCATTCTTTATACTAGGGTGATGATTACAGAATTGCACGAAAATGGGAAAAAGAACGGCCTTGCAGACAGGTTCATGTGAATTTTACGGAAATTGCAAACGGCGGAAACATCTATGGCGGGATGATCAATGGAACTATTAATGGAACTATTAATTGGAACTGTTGGTGAACCTTCCTCTTCCAAAATACCACTCAAGAAAAGAGTCAGAATAAGTTATGCCGAATCAGAAGAGACTGATTCTGGTTACAAGGAACAACCAAAGAGGGCGAGTAATTATACGGTAATTATCAACTCTCACTTTAGGATGAAAAGCGTTCTTCTGAGGTCCGGAAATTTGGCGAGAGACAAATATTATTTTTATGATATGCTTGTGATTTTGCCTCGCGCTTTTTATAGGACGAAATAGAAAAGTGGTGCTAATTTACCTTGTACTATCTGGGTTTCATATCGCAAAACTCTTAGTAATGAATCCGAAGCTAAAAAGAATTGGGCAAATTCCATTTCAAAGTAGGGCAATATCAGAATATTGTGGCTGACCTAAAGACACGTGAGTGGGATCTTAATATTGTACAAGTTGAAAGTATTCTTCGTCTTGATTTTCAAGGAGGTCGTTCCTGTATTAGTATAGCAATTTTAGATAAAGCAAATGCTACTATGCATCAAATGGCCAGTGGAGTTCATGCTTGAGATCAATGAACCATTGCTGGCCGCAGAGTTTATTATTATCGATAATGAAATACCAATCGAACACCTTGATGACAACGAAATTCTTGCAACTGTGCAGGAAAATGGCGAAGATGACGAGAAAGCAGTTGAACCACAGCCCAATATTTCTTTAAAGTTGGCACTAGAAAGCGTGGATAATCTATTGCAGTTTATCAGTAATCCTCCAAAAGAACTTCTTTTTGATCTGAAGACGTTATCAATTCTACGTATACTGAGGTCGAAGATTTCTCATTATCAAATAGATACATTACGTCAATCACAGATTGATAAGTTTATTACTATTATTTCGTAGCATTTCTTATTTGGGTTACGTTTACATCAAGGTTGGGCTTGGTAAAGACAAGTGGAATCCTGCTATTGCTAATGTAAGAGAGAATTCGCGGTGGTAGACTATGCGCGTCTAGATTGCATATTGGACACGATAAAGATCGAGCAGGCAAGAGATCAGAAGGCGTTTAGTATTACGCTTGTATTGTTTGTCACTGTTATAATATACAGTTGTTGTGGATTATCCATCCGATTTATTGAGAATAAATATCTTTATTAAAACGCTTGTGGAATAAATTAGTATACATTGAATTTATGAATTGGCCAATGATAAGCGACAACTTCCCAAAACCGATAGGAAAAGGTGAGGACAGCCACATCGGTTTTTCGAGGTTTGACTGTAGCATCCGATATGTAGACTATAATCATCTCAGGTGTGTGGCGAAAAAAGCAAAATACAACAAAGTTTAGGGTGTTTCAATACTTTTGTCCATCGTTGGAACGATTAATCGTTCGTCGCGAGAAATAATAATCATTAAGACTTTCATTCTGAGTCGACGGAAAAACTCGTTTCCATTGAAACGAATAGTGACGTTGACAGTCCACATTGACGGGGTTTCATTGGTTGATCAGATTCTATTCTCTAACCCCATTGGTTAGTTTCAGCTTCAGCATCACCGCGAAACACAAACAGTGTCATGTGTTATTTTCTTTACTGCTTATAGTAATAGCGATAGGCAAAAGAGGTATTGAATAGTTCCCTAAAGAAGAATATAAAAACTCTTTCCAGAGTTTGCGTAGAGTTTCAAAACTTTTCATGTACTATTAGTACTGGTAAATCAAATAAATCAATATCATCACAAACGAACCAACGAGCTTAGGTAATTTTAAACGTCACCCATAGTAGCTGCTGTAGGCGTAACTAATAAAGGAACGCCATAGTAGCTACCAACGAAATTTCCGGCGATATCAATAGCTGATAGTAAAGTATAATAATAATATAGCAACGGTAAGTAAATTAGTGTTAGCTTCACCGCGGAAAATTTTTGTCCCTGGAAATTCCCCGAACCCCTAACCACAAGTTCGCTTTGTCATTCATACTAATACTGCCATTTTAGTCTCAGGAGAATAGGGGACAATCACTACGGTACATAAGGAGCTAGCGCAAACCAAAATACGTTTTGTTCATGTTTTTGTTGCCTCATAATTAACCGCAACTCATGGTTTTTAGAAGTCATTTGAGAGAACTTCGCGAGCGCTTCAGAGAACAGAAATCGATTCATGAAATCATTCAGAGTATCGCATCAAAAAAAGGGCTCGATCCACTGTCGCATGAATTTGCTCGATATCTCGATGATAACGATGAGTTGAAGCACTTGCGAGAAGAATTTTCATTACCCAAAGTTAGTGAATGTATCGCCGAGGGCGTAGGTAAGCTTGCAGAGAAGTATCTAGGGTATAACAAGGATCACAGTCTTAAATGGTGCTCGTTATTAGTTCCTATTACATCAGAAGAGGAAGTTGTTTATTTGAGCGGAAATTCGCTTGGCCTACTCCCGAAGCGTACGCGAAAACTGATCAATGAAGAGCTTGATGTTTGGGCTACATCGTAAGCTAATCAACTACTCTTTGTCTTATCTGATCTTTTTGATTTGTGCATTCTTTATCAGAAACCAAGAGAGATCTCTAAATATATTTGTATTTACTTCTGAATAATGGTCACGAATTTAGAGCCGTCAGGGCCCACTTTAACCACAAGCTCGGTCGAAATTGGGCCACTATTGAAGATCAAGTAATTAGTAAGCTTACCGGAATTGTTGGTAAGTAGAAGCTTTTACAAGCTATCAGACAGTTTTCAATTGTAGCGTAGTAATATGGTTCATTTGTGGATAGGTGCAAAGCCAATCGAAATAGCTGTGATGAATACGCTGACGTCCAATATACATCTTCTGCTGGCCTCATTCTACACGCCAACTCAATCGCGGTTCAAGATCTTGATAGAGGAAAGTTCGTTTCCCTCTGACAGAGTAAGTTTCGTGACTTTTTAGCGTTTAGCATAAAAAAAAGCATACTACATTGTTGTGTTATATAGTATGCGCTAGAGTCTCAGATCAAGTTCCATGGATATCTTGTTGAAGCTGCACTAATCGAGATAAAGCCGCGACCTGGTGATATTACACCTGAGATTGAAGACGTTCTTAACATTATTGAGAAAGAGGGTGATAGCATTGCATTAGTATTCATGGAAGCAGTGAACTATCACACCGGACAATTATTTGATATTCCAAAGATTACAAAGGCAGCTCAGAAGAAAGTAAGGAGGCATAATTTATTCTTGCACTTTGTTATCACGCTGGATTATGTTCACTCTTTTATCGATGAATAGGGTTGCATCGTTGCATGGAATCTTGCACATGCTATCGGGAATGTTGAACTAAAACTTCACGACTGGAACGTCGATCTTGCTGTCTGGTGTTCTTACAAGTACTTGAATGCGGGTCCGGGTGGTATAGCCGGAATTTTTGTGCACGAAAAACACGCACATGAGTTTGACAGACCGAGGTAAGTAATATTTGTAAATACTAATTCTTGTATTGAACCTATCTAATATGTCATGCTGTGCAGATTTGCTGGTTGGTGGGGTCACAATAGAGAAACAAGGTTCTTGATGAATAAGTGTGAGTACTTGTGATTTCATGGAGAAACTGTTCTACAAAGATCTTTGCGCTTATTCCAGAATCGTGATATCAGCTTTCCAGCCAATGCCTGGGGCGAAAGGTTTCCAAGTTTCCAATCCCTCTGCTCTTGACATGGTCGCTTTGTATGGCTCGCTCGAAGTATTCTCTCTGACCAACATGTCTGACCTTTGTCAGAAATCATATCTATTGACCGGTTACCTTGAATTTCTTCTCGACGAAAACCTCCACGGAGTTGGATATAGGATAATTACACCTCGTAATCCTCACGAACATGGTGCACAGCTGTCGCTCATGTTTGATGAATTAAAGGTAGAGAAGATTGCCGATGACTTATTAATTCGGGGTATCATATGTGATGAAAGAAAGCAATCTGTTCTTAGAGTTGCTCCTGCCCCTTTGTACAATTGCTTTTCCGATGTATATAAATTTGTCAATGCTTTGAAAGCTATATTGTCGGAAACGTAACTTAGGAGAGCAGTGTTATTTAAAAATAGGATGTATTTACTACATAATTTTCGTTAACAACGTATAATAAATTAATCAGCTTATTAGCTATTATAATAGAAGTGGATTATTATACATTTTGGCGTAACGTCCTAATGCCCAGATCGTAAATGCAAACTTGTAATTAGGATACGAAATCATACAGTTCTTGTTGAATACACCCTCGATGGCTTCTTGAAGCCATTCACCATTCGCCTGCTGTCTGGACATGATCAATTTAATACCACGGCGAATAGGTTCTTCATGCGGATATCGAGCTGACATTAACGCTAAAAGTGCCATTGCAGTATTGACAACTTGTGACTGGTAATGTTCTACGAACTTACTTAATTCACAGGACTAATTTTGAATGATGAAAAAAAAAAAAAGTATTGCATGAGATTATAATATGATGCAATATGCAAAAATTCCGGTCACGTAAAACAAAAATACCTTATATGATTCACCCCAACCACCATCTGATTTTTGCGTTGAGATGAGAAAGTCGCAACCTTTCTTAGAGACCTCACTACAAGATACAATTAAATTAAGATATAGAAGTAGCATATACATTCATTATGCTAATATCCATACCTATTATCGTAGAATTCCCCAAAATTAGCCAGACTTTCCAAAGCAAACATTCCAGCGTATGTGTAGCAGATGGCCCACGAACCATACCAACCCCCATCTTCGCCTTGGGATTTTTTTATGAAATCTGCTGCCTTTTCGCAAACACTAATGATTTCATCTGCCCGATAGTCCGGATAATGTTTTCGGAATATGCATAGGCCCGTCAATACAGAAGTAGTACATTCAGGATAACTGTATTCAATCATTATCTTCCCGAATACTTCAGCTGGATTAATCCATTCTAGAATCTTTGGACCACGTACTAGCTCGTAACTAGCGAACCCACCGTCGGCATTCTGCATAGTTAGTAGAACATCGACGGCATCGTATAGGCGATCTTTTGACACCAGTTCTTTTGTGTAGCTGTAATAAGAAGATGCAGGTCTTTAAGTCACAGCCATAATTGTGCGCAATTGGGACAAAAATGCTTACCTCAGTTCATTCTGTAAATATATCACGGATTTCAACCCTTCCGCTGTGCAATCAGATACAGTGTATCCTTGATGACGTGTGCTGAATGGCCATGCACCCTTTGAGCAATGTCGATAACATCTTTCCATCTCGGAAGCATTAGACTTTATTTGACAGTCGTCTATAAATTCTAGAGCATGGATCATTGACTCGTGGTTTTGTGGTTCTTCCGCGAGTCCTTTGTGTAGTATCATGTATATTAGTTTGTAATAATATTAATATATCATTATGTTCGACGATATATATATTTTGATACCTGACTCAACCAATGCTTGTACCATGAATGCAGTGTCCCATAATTGAGAGCCATTTGTTCCATTCATCATCATTCCTTCCTTGCCTAACCTGATCAAATACATTTCAGTAAAAGTAGGAAACGAATTCATAATAAGTAATTTAAACGTACCACATGAAATCAATAAGTCTTTCTTTGGACTCTTGGAACGCTTGTGACTCTGGCCCTTCTTCAAAATACACACAGAGGAGATTGATAGCCTTATTAACCTGGCAAGTACAATGAATATAAGATATCGTCATATCCAATTAAGAATCAATATTATCGAATGCTTACCGGGCCAAGATCAAGGTAGAAAGTGTTTTTATCTTCGAGTTCTACAAGTTTATAACTCTCTTTAATCGCCATATCACGAAGCCCAATCAGATCGGGTAATTTTTCGTAGACATCCAGGAAGACTTGTAGAAAAATCATTATTAGTATGTTCATCAACGTTTAGTCAAGAAAGCTAACTTACAATTTAAAACTTTCAGAATTTTTGTATGTGAAGCATACACATCAGCTTGAGCAATATTGCTTCTTTGATTGCTCCAATGTATAGATTCATACGGCTGAGTGTAAAGTTCTTGCCGTAAAGACTTAATAAGTGGATTCACGTCGGTCGATAAACGTCTACCATACATGTATCCCATTGGAAGATAGACATTACGCGTATGAACCCAAAATCTTCCTGGGTGAAATGGAAGCCAGTAAGGAAGTAGCCTTGAAAGTAAAAACCAGGTGAGCTAGTTGAAGTCTAACGGTGTCATAGGCGTACTTTCACCATTACGATTTATAATCTTGATCACATTGAGTAATTGATATTTACCAGAGTTCGGGCGGAATCGGGTTAAGACCATCCCAATCGTAACAGTTCAAAACAGCAAGCCAAAACTTTCCCCATGATGGAATTCCGGTAGCACCGCCTACGATAGTTTATCAGACGCGAAGTTCATATATCACGACTTTTATGACTAAGTTTCTTAGACGGCCCATGAACCTACCGAGTTTATGCAGCGTAGCTCTTGCCTTGACTAGAACTGGATGGTCTGCATCGATGCCTAGCAGCCTGAGCACCACATAATTCAATGCGGTACCAAATACTGTCGAATGTCCTTCGATGTGTCTGCAATAATATCCAAATATCCCAAATTCATACACTACACTAAACGTCAACTCATAAACCCACATTTTATTTCACTTACATTCCCCACCCCCCGTCTTCAGGATGTGCGCGATTGAACAGATATTTCACAATCTCAATCTTCCATTCTTCAGGCACTGGCAATTTCGTGACATACATCGAAATGACTAAACCAGGAAGCAGGAACATTGGACCGCCATATTCGCCCGCCCAATGCCCATCCTCTGTTTGAAGCTGTTTGTAGAATTCAAACCCATTACGGGCTGCATCAAGAGCTGTTTTTGCAGGTGGAAATGTCTTTGATGGCTGACAACAA